TATACCCAGCTTTAATCAACAGTAGTTCCTCCCACGTGTGATACTTCAAGTAGACCCAGCTTTAATCAACAGGAGTTCCTCCCACGAGTGATACATCAAGTATACCCAGCTTTAATCAACAGGAGTTCCTCCCACGAGTGATACATCAAGTATACCCAGCTTTAATCAACAGTAGTTCCTCCCACGAGTGATACATCAAGTATACCAAGCTTTAATCAACAATAGTTCCTCCCACGAGTGATACATCAAGTAGACAAGTCAGACAATGCTGAGTCCTGTATGCTGAACACGAGCGAGTGAGGTTGATGTGGGTCGAAAGTCTTGGTCCCAGAAACCAACGTGCACGGACGAAACATTAACAAAGTAATTAGTAGGTATGTTACCAAGACTTGGACTATGCATGATTCTGATTATGAATTAAGTCAGAGGTATATAGTCACGTTATATATTCCCCTGTTTTCCTTCGCTTAAATGTACATGGCTTATGGTTATGTCGTAGTGCTCATCAACATGGACTGAATCCAATACACACAAGTAATGTGACGACAGATTATCAAATTGCCGGATATTGCCCGATAATGAGTAAAGAGTTTAATCATTTATCACACAAGAGAAGAATATATGAATGAATTAGTTCTCAAGTAGTGAAAAGCATATTCAAAATATAAGAACACCTTTTCTCTAAAGATCCCTGTTTATACCACGTGAAAGTCAATACTATTCAATGATTACAATCTTAGATCTGTAACTTGTATCACAACTCCCACTTGACACTTCCTTTCAACTCTGAGTGGCTGAGCGAAATGGAAAATCCACAGACTTCCAAGCACTTCCAGCTATAAAAAAACTTGAATTAATATTCACGGAACCTTTTAGAGGAGTCCAGCGCAAGTTATGTTTCAAGTCGTCATGTCTCTGTCACATTCGAGCATCCATCCTATGAACTGGATGTAAAAATCGTGCACAACCAAGTCATCCATCAAGCCAACAATTCCTGTCGGCATATTGAGAAAACCTTTGCCCAAATTTAGGGAATGCCAGTCTAATGATTCACCTGTAAATCTTAAGCATAAAGTATGAGTTGACATCACATAAGGGCAAAAGTAAGAGAGAAGCATCTCTGAAATCACTTGACCATTACAGTTTCATCAGAATCAATCCAACAAGGGTCCATGCGGGTAGCAAAGGCACTGTAAGTCCCCATGGTCCCTAGTATGGTGGTCTGTCTTCAGTTGTTGGCGATCTATAGCCAGTTTGTATATTTTGTCGTCCTCTATAGTTAAAGTATTTTAGATTATTTACTAGTTTTAAATATATCTGTGATAGTCTAGTTGGTTTTACTGCCATTTGTCGACTGATATCTTAAACTGATTACCTTGTTTTAATCGCTCTATGGCTGTAATATTGCCTATGCGGTGTACAATTTTAACTCACTCACTCACCAATCAGAATTATTTGCGTTATCAATCCACTTTCATCATGAGCATGCATACTTGCTTTCCTGATTACTTAGTAAAGAGTCAAGTATTCCTTTTTAACTGAATATGTTTCCATATTAGGTGTGTCCGAAGGTAAGCAGGACTTTGCTGTGAACGTCAACAGTGACGGCACCTACAACGTCGTTGTTCAGGGAGATGTGTGGCTGAAGAGCGCTCCCACCTTCTTCAGAGCTGATGGTCAAGTGTTCTCCTCTGCTGATGGATCTCTGAAGCTGGTCAAGAACACTCAGTCCAGTGGTGAGGACGTCATCGGGCAGTAGGAGACCAACAGCTTCTTGTACCAGGCAGGGTCCAGTCAGATCGAGGCCAGCTTTGTCCAGTACACACCAGATCCAAGTATATTCACCTACAACAATCCGGCCATACCGTTCATATTGTTCAAACAGGTGAGTAAACTCAGTCTAGGATTGTAAATGTACTTAAATACAAACCGAGATTATTAAATTTCATTAGTGTACGTATTTTGATATTTTATATATATATTCAATCATTAACGGTAAAACTTTGAGCATATTAGCTTCATCTTTACGCCTGTGGGCAGAGAGAACTGCAACATTTAAAAACAATTCACGCCATCAGTTACATTTTTGCAAAGACTTCGCAAACGTTTTTCACAACGAGTTATTAATGTAGTACTTTTAGAAAACTCGTCCCGGGGTTTTGTTGAAAGTCGCTGCCTCTTCATATTTTACCTTGTCTTTCTGTCTTCCATCAATGACGACAACAGCGTTATATCAATGGAGCAAACAACACCGCCTCCAACAGCACTGCCTTCACTATTTCTGGCTTTCCTGGATTTCTAATCGAAGAGTCAACCATTCCATTGGGATACCTCAGTTATGCAGGGCTCATGTCTGGGAGCTTGGGTCTCATGGCAGGACAGTAAGTACTCGTAGACAAACATAGATAAACATGATATTATGTCAGGACCACACATACACTATCGGATGTCAGCTGTTTTGCCAGAAAATGGATGTTGTCACTGTCCCCAGGAAGCAGATGCTCTTTCATGCAGATCTTCTTCCTAATTAGTTCTCCCCCAGTCGATTCCAGATAAAATAGCATCGCATATTCCCGGATATGAAAAATGGTTCTTGTTTATGGAGGACTGGTGTTTTGTTTTAAGGGTCAAGGGTTCATGTCAGAGAGTACTCGTACTGTTGATGTTGCACGTGTTGAATGGAACACACATCAATCCTCTAATGTCTGTTGTTTTGCCAGAAGATGCAACAGTTAATGACACCAGCAACCATCTGCTCGTGCATGCAAGTTCATTTTTCAAAACGGTTTGACTCCAGTCGGCTTTAGGTGTAATTGAATCCCATTTACCTAAAGAATGAAATAACAAGTAGACGTTATAAATTAAAAAGTAGTCTCTTATAAAATAACTCGTTTTACATTTCAATTGTCAACCAATTTCAAATGGTGCTGCTCCATCTCCCAACTAACCAGTTGACCATCTCTTGCAAATATAGAAGTAACGACGTGTTATATGAAGTTTTATATTGTAATTTCCAATCAGTTTTAACTATTGTATACTTGTTCTCAAGGTGGGGACCATCATCATTTAAAATCAACGACGGGATTGAAGGTGGACCCCTGACTTTATTTGATCGAGTGAAGACTGCAAATACACTGATTATCTCCCCTGCCAGTCGGTTTATGTCGTCATCAATATGGCGTCAGAACTCCAGCACCGGCGGGAACAAGGTCTACTGGGGGACGATGGGAGGAGTTGAAGATGTCTCTGTTAATGTGGAAACCAGTTTTATTCTTTTCTGTGGAAACCAAGGGATTAATAAGGTACTTGTCATTCAACTTAGAAATAGCTGCGAATATCACGTGAGAGCATCTATTACCTAACTATTCAAACATGGAATCGTTCTGGTCTATTTCTCTACTTTTCTTCCGCCGAAACATTATGTAATTTCGTCGGCATATTTCCATTTCCGGAACATGTCCTATCTTTCATCACTTTCATCATAATAATCAAATGCTTTGTACCTTTGTTCAAGAAATATTTGATTGTTGCTGGGGTCAGATCTTACAACGATGGTATGGACGTACAGATCAATATATGAAGTCTGACTTTACCATCAACTACTTAGGATACTGGATGGACAATGGTGAGAATATTTGGACTTCCGTGATTACATTTTCAATATGTACATAATGTTCAACTAAAATATTTACTTTTACTGGAGGATTTACTTTATTCGCACATGTATGCGCACTACTTGTGGTTGTTCCGAAGCTTTATACGCAACAACAGCATATTGCTGCGCATGTCGCCCTGTGAAAAGCGTACATGTCACAATTCACAATTCATGTCACGTTAAAAAAACGCTGGAAAATCCAAAAGATCGTGTTTGTATGTTCAGGGGCGTATTACTACTACCGGACAGAGAAAGGAAAGAACGGCCAAGAAACAGTATTGGATCTCAAGAGCTACATGGGGTAGATAGGGGTACCCGTCAGGTTGGTAGATTTACTCACTCCAAACAATAAATATGTTATCGAAGAGTGCCATGAATCAAATGTCTTCCCCCATACGTTCGAGATCCAAGGGCATCGTTCTGTTCTTATTCAGCGAGTAATATTACAGAGTTGTGTTTTCAAGAATGTAGAAGAAGGGATAGGTTTAGGGTTAGGTTTAGGGTTAGGGTAAGGGTTAGGTTACGGTTTAGGGTTAGGGTAAGGGTAAGGGTAAGGGTAAGGGTTAGGGTTAGGGTTAGGGATAGCGTTTGGGTTAGGGTGACTTGACACTAAACAATATGCCTGGTAGGTATCCGGTATTCTGTAGGTGTACCTTTGATTTTTGTCTTAAATGTAGAGACGGTTACATATTTATATAGACCTTTTAAAACGCTCTTTCATTTTATCAGTTTTACAGCGAAATATGCATGTGTCAAACGATTTACGTCGGTGATTGATATATTACTTGAATCTGGAACAATCGCCATAATGTTTACTGGCTACATTATTGGTCCGTTCGGGCAGGATTATTATTTCGGTAGGATATATTTGGACAATGATCGTGTTGATTACTTACTAGGTCCATGCGAATGTTAGTACGACACCTTGTTAACTTGCAATGTACATCCGGTACGATAATTGATGGTACCAATGGGACAATGTCGTTTTTGTTAACTTGCCATGTACATCCAGTGCGATAATTCCTGATCGTTTTTTTTAACTTGCCAGTTACATCCAGTACGATAATTGATGGTACCAATGAGACAATGTCGCTTTTCTTAACTTGCCAGGCACATTCAGTACGATAATTGATGGTACCAGCCGGACAGTGTCGCTATTCTTAACTTGCCAGGTACATCCAGTGCGATAATTGATGGTACCAATTGGACAATACATCCAATATGACGCTTGGTGCCACTACTACGGCTAAGCGCTTGTTGTTTGCTTGCCAGGTACATTCAGTACGACGAATGGTGGTACTACTGGGACAATGACCATGGTGTTGTAAGATGGACAGTTCAACCGAAGATCTTCCCAAATGGAATGCAGTGAGTTATTTTTCATCTGTTTTTGTACCTGAGAAAATATTTCATTAATCTGTTAAATTATATATATAATATTATGCTCATTTCCTGTTAGAAACATATTGCATAAATAGTTCTATATTCCTGCAATCATTTATACACCCGTGCATTAATTAAGCGACACTCTATTTTGAAAATAAGATGTGATTCTACAGAAAAGTTAGGGTATAGCCTACATTTTAATCAACCTGCAGTTAAAGAAGCTTTATCCATTGACAGTTTTACAAATACCATAACCTTTTCTATTCTTTCTGAAAGAATAGGTTGATGAAAATGTGATTGGACTGAATTTTTACCCAAAATAACTATTCCTCTTCCGCTCAAACTACACGATTAAATTAAGTTTTGACTAAAAATAACAATTCTGTTACATACCAAGATGACATTTACACATCAAGTAAAATTTGATTATGCATAATCAGGAAGAACCCGAATGTCAAGGAGTCACACCTTTTTCCAACAATTCAGTTTGCTAACTGACAAAAAATGAAAAAGGACACTTTAATAAGATTTTGGATTTTTTTAATATCATTTTGAGTTTATTGTATTGAATGAACACTTCTCCTTGCCGGATATTGATAATTACAGCGAAAATCTGTTTGTTTGTACAGCAACATTTACTGCATTTCAAAATTTTACTTTTTTCAGGTTGACTGTAACGTTTCCTAAATCTTAGTTTACAAACTTTAATACATTCACAATATATAACTAATTTATAGGCCACATAACAATCAATTATTACTTTCGCTTTTCAAAATAAGGTAACTTGTTTTAGGACAGAAAACACCAGTTTTAAATATAGGCAATTATCCATTAATAATTAAAGTACATGGTAATTTCAATGATGTTTTCGTTTTTGAAATGTTAAATGCTTACTCATTATATTTCTTGGAAAGAATTTAGAAGTTCACATCAGGCAAAATTAATTTTTAAAAATACAGGGTGGTGCTTATTTTATGCACGGATATATATATATCTTTATAAGACCTTTATGTGTGTCAAATCGAAACTTGATTTATATCCCATAAGTTACGAGAGTGGATATCTAAAGTTGTAGAGTACCATAATTTTCCCCAAGATGAAATTTTGACTTAATTCTCGGAAACTAACACGTTTTCGTCTTCTTTACTTCATCCTGTGATAAAGGTGGCTTTATAACAAGACACAGTATCCCGTCGTGGCCCACAGTATGTACTGGTAAGCCAGGCCCAGGAATTAAATTAAAATCATCATATTAATCTAAATGCAAAGTTATTATATTTAAGATACAAATGTACCTGTCAAAATCATTATATTTTCTCAACTCTGTAAGGAGTTTTAATTTCAATACCAATTAAACAAAAACAATTGCTCAAAGAAAAAGGAAATTCCGTATCAAATACGTCATTTCACAGTCAAAAACAAAATTTTAGATGTTTCTATTAGTTTTGATACGTCTATATGAGTTGCTTCTATCCGTGAAGCCTATAGATGTGTACAAAAAACCACTATATCATTAAATGTTTGATGGTTTGTCAACATTTTAGGTCAAGCAACACAACTTACGCCAGGGCTAATGGGGGAAGTTATGACTTCCTGATCGATTGTCACAAGGCTTTACCTCTGGAAGAGGTACTCACTCATGTTTTGTTCAATTGGTACAATATAATCCTTTCCTTCTTCACCTCATCATCATTTGAGAAGGGTATTTTGTTCATGTTCCATCCATTCAACATAAACCTTTAGACATCTTTCTCATTTCGTTTCAGAGATTTTGGGATGATCTGCTCGCTGAGTCAAGGGATTGGGGTCTGTTTGTCTACGAACAGGTACTACCACTTATAACCAAATAGATATGAACATATTCAATATTTCAGCATAAATTCATTGTATTGTTTTCAATGCATTCATTTCCTTTTTGTAGGATTACCTCAATGAAGAATTTGAACAAATACAAAAGCTCCTGACTGACATTGACCTTGGCCGCCAATGGTTGACTCAGATGGGGAATGGGGCTGCCAAGAACGGACTGACCATCCAGTACTGCATGTCCTACCCGCGACATATGCTACAGTCTCTGGAAATACCTGTCGTCACACAGGTGAGAACAGGAATGGTTGTATTCAGATCTTAACAATATCACAGAAACGCTAATGTATTGTTTTGTTTGAGACTTGGGATTATGGATTTCTGGAAATATCTATTGTCACCCAGTTGAGATCGAGTTGATTTGAGTATGGTTATCCGCCAAATGGAATGAGTAAATCTATAATTAAGCGTGGATGTCCACTAATGTAGCTATATACACATGAGAGACACACCACGGAGTGAAATACATAGCGACTTCTCTTGTTGAAGAAGAAACATGAGTATTTGTTTAGCCATTTGTCGACATAATCGTCCTGAAAACAGACCAGATACATGTATACCTTTTGTCATTTGAAACTTCGTCACGTTATTGAACATTTGTTTCAGGCTCGTGTTAGCCATGACAACCGACCAGACACTGACAACTGGAAGATCGGTGTGACGTCACTATTTTCATGGTCTATTGGTATTGCACCCTTCAAGGATAATTTTTGGACAACCAGCGTTCAACCCGGAAATGGCTACAGTATGTACAAAATTAGTTTTGAATCAACATTAATAGTATTTTCAACATGAAGCTCATGACTAGATTTCTAACGACACATTGTTGATTGGTATTGAATAATGTGTTGCAGATTCTTCAGAACCGTACACGTCTCTAGTTCTGAATCAACATGACATTACTTTCCAATTGGAATAAAACCTTTGAGGAAGTAATGTTATGTTGATTTCATTCCATCGTTCTTAAGAAAATATTCTCAATCAGGTGAAGTGTGTAATATTCATATCATGCCATGACTACATTTGTAGAGGCAGAAGCTTGATATATATTGAATGGGTTCCAGATTTGTCGGAACCCCACACATCACTGAATGCCGTGGTTGCAACCTTAAGTACAGGCCCAGTGGGGATTAGTGACATGGTGGGAGGCACAAACAAGACACTCACAATGAAGTAGGTTGGCTGTTAGTTCTAAATTCCAAATCGTTCTGTGCAGTGATATTTTATCCTCAATGATTATACGTTTGCTTCCAGTTCTATCTATCTATGTTTACTCCAGTAAGTTTTTTCTCACACATGTATTTCTTATCTATTTCTCCTGAATATGTTATTCACTTACTATGTATTTTTATTATTTTTCACTCATGGATTGAGTTAACATTACTCCCATATTTATAACATTTTATTTCTGTTTTATAAGTACTCACATGTACATTTCACCACTGCTCCTACTTCTTCTATTTTTGCACAGATCTGTAAATGCTGATGGCCTAATCCTGAAACCATCGCGACCGGCGACGTCAATTGACAACAGAATACGGAGGGTAAGTTCGCACGTTGTTTTACTTTTATGTAGCCTGATGTGGATATCATGCATTTGTAACCCTTGATATGTATGAGGATGTTTTTAGTTTCATCTTTTAAGAGAACAAGTAAAACACCTTCCAGTATTTATTTTTCAAGTCTTTATAGTGACTAGTCTGGGGGCTAAATCTACGGTTCCAGCAAGAGTGATTCAAGTTGTACTTATGCCATTATCTGATAAAACATTCTTTTCACGACACACCAACATAACACACTCTCGAACTCCCTCCACTTCAATACCTCTGCTTCTCATATCGTCCGTGAGTAGTTCTACTCTATAAACAGATGCCACTGTACATCTCACCAATGACATGTTTAAACCAACAATGGACATAATACTGCAGGTTGAAATGATTAACTGTAATGGTAACAAGGTATGATCGAAGGAGTGTTTTGTGCTACCTCGCAGTGGTTTATGCCTGCTTAAATGGCATAGGACAGCATCCTTTAACACAATGAAATGGCATAAATCCCTTTATAGCATGGAAGGTTTATTGTCATGAATATTTTCAAGATGGCTTGGTCAGACTTTGAGGGTCCTGATGGGGAGGTGTGGTCCACCTATTCGGATTTTGGTGGAAAGAACAAGTACGGTATCATCCTTGCTGCTGATCTTCAGGGAAACTACACCATGACACCTTGCATGGCTGGATATCAAGGGGTAGGACATTACGTTTCTTCTTCCCTTATTACTACTGTCACATGATTCCCGTAGTTTACTGTTTCGGTTTACCTGTAATTAGTCAGGTGTGCTGCTAAAATGAACGTTATTATTTCCAGTTTCCGAACTCCATGGTTTTCCCAGCCAATAATCCCAACAAGATTCAACCTTTGACAGACCCCCAGCCTTTGACAATGAGTGGCTGTACCATGGCTGACTTCTGTCTCTTCTATGTATCACCTGTACTGAGCATCAATGGGTAGGTGTATTACTTTGTTTCAAATCATGCAGATATGAATAAATATCAAAACTGATCCAATATATCAAGCAAATCAATATTAACTGTGCTATATATACGTAATGTCTGAAACATTATAAACCGAAAGTGATAAATACTTCCACAGCATTCTAAGGATTTTCTTTTGTGCACTTCATCAAGGTCCCAGACATTAAGAGAATTTACCTAAATGAAGCAGTGAATATACCTTGAAGGTATCAGGGAAGATACCGATTTTTCGATTAGGAAATATGTTTTACTTGAGTGGACATGATAATTTCCAAAACTGTAAGCACAGATGACTTCAAGTGATTTTAATCTACAGTAGGACACATTGTAAACAACCTTTACAAGTTTGGTTTGTATTTTTTAAATTTTAACTTAAGGAAATGAAAGTGTATAAATGAAGCATACATTTTGTCTGAACGAAGTGAACGGCGATATCATTGGTTTCCCCTGCAGCATACAAGTTCTCATCCAGGGTGAGTTAGACAAGTGGGTGCCGATGTCTCCCCAGAGAGTCACGGACATCAACATTGCTGATGACATCACCATCAGCCTCACTGGAGCTGTCGACGAAACTGTCTCCTTCTGGTTCAACGTGGATGGTAAATCCTCACCTGTGACCTGTATCCTCGGAGCAGCAGGACTGGCCACCCTTAGTTTCCCAGCTGGCACATGTCGTGGTTCAAAATGACTTCATATATTCGTATTAAATAGACACTGTTTACTTCATATCACTACCACACAGTTACTACACATAGATGAACATACGCAAATACGGTCATACTGTATTTGCATTTGTTTCAGTAGTTTAAAATGTGACTTTTGGTCCAGTGAATGAACGATTATACATGTGCCTAAATATAAGTTCCTCTCTTGAGTATTCCGCAATATTAACATTTCTTACGCCCATACTCCCTTGAATGAATGTCAATAAACGTTATATGAGGTGTGAATTTACTTCCGTTGTTGATTTGTAAACGTGTGTGTGCTCCTGAATTCAATTCTGGGATTAAAAGAATGCTGATTAGGGTAAGATAAGCAAGTGCAAAAAGATGGATGTCATGGCTTCTCAGAGTTTGAGCGCATCCTCTGTAAAGTCAATGATTATGATCATCTGTACACACAGCTTTAATCAACAGTAGTTCCTCCCACGAGTGATACAACAATTATACCGAGCTTTAATCAACAGTAGTTCCTCCCACGACTGATACATCAAGTAAGGCAATCCTGAGTCTTGTAATTGAACACGAGTGAGTGAGGGTTGATAGCTTGATATGATGCAGGTTCCAGAAATCAACGTGCTTGGACGAAACTTTGCAGGAGTAATTAACAGGTATTTCACCAAGATTTGAGAATACGCATCATTCTAATTATGAGTAAAGTCAGAGGGACATAAGTACTCATTAATGGAAGAAAATCCGTGATGGTTTCCAGTTGCTTTATGCAATGGAAACTACCAATGATACTTTACTGTAAGTTTCCATTTCTGGAAACTAACTTTGCTGGTTTCCGGCAGTTTCCAGGAAACGGCCGGAAACCATCAATCATAGTTTCCATGATCGGAAACCTACATGATTCTAACATTACCTGTTATTTTTTGTACATAAGTTATGTAGTAGTAGAAGTGCCCACCAACATGGACGGACACAAAACAAACTATAAATGTGACGACAGATTACAGCTATCTTGCACCCGGATATTAAATTACACATCTGTACCCGAATCACACAATAAAGGAATATATGAATAACTTATTTCACAAGAAGAGAAAAGTATATTCCAAGTAGAAGATGGCCTTTTCCCTAAAATTTCTTGTTTAAACCACGGGAAAGTCAATACCATGGCACCTTTTAGAGAAATTCAAGTGCCAGTCATTTCAGATCATCATGTCTCTGTCACACTCGAGCATCCATCCTAGAAGTGACGTTAAAAAGATGCAAGACCAGTCATTCAGAAAGCCAACAATTCCTGTCGGCATATTAAGAAAAAGTTTGCCCAAATAAAGGGAATGCCAGTCTAAAGATTCACCTGTAAATCTTAAGCATACAAGATTTGAATTTTCAACTATTTCTATAATATTTACACAACAAAGATAGTTAGGATACCATTTACGAGTTAACATGTTAAGGACGGTCTATATACGTTATGCGTTGTTTTTATTTGACAGTTCGGAATTAATTACACAAGTAGAGTTGAGTTAACATTCTCATTGCTCAGCTTTTATGTTCATTTGCTTGATCTACTGTTTTTCAACGTCAAAATACATGTTACACAAAGGCAATTAGGCTAATGTATCTGATAATATCTTCATTCATACATGAAAATGATAGGATGGACAACATGGTAGTTAATTATTAATAATATACATATAAATAGTCAGACTTTCAAACACACGGTTTATGTACACACATGTTCTTCTAGAGTGAGTGAGTGAGTTTAGGTTAACGCCGCTTTTAGCAATATTCCAATAAAATCACGGCGGGGGACAATAGAAATTAGCTTCACAGATTGTACCCATGTGTGGAATCGAACCCGGGTCTTCGGCGTGACAAGGGAACGCTTTAACCACTAAGCTACCTAGCGCCCCTTTACTGCCGCTAGAATTTCCAGTAACCAATTTGAAAAAGAAGGGCCAACTTTTTTATTAAAAGCCTAAGCCCAAAATTTCAGAAACATGTCATCATTGAGAAATACATTTCACATA